AATTTCTGATGAACCTTATTAACCTGATGGACTGAATCCAATTCAATAAATAAATAACGAGATTGATGCCTTGGATTTTTAGTAATATACCCAAGAAAAATACAAAAGTATCTGATACAGTAAAATCACATAACAGGGATGTAGGTACTATCAGTCATTTAAAAAACGAAGAACACATATTAAACATAGAAAACGTTTTACTGACTGAAGTTGAAGCATCATATAGATTTCAATAACTATGTCTGTAATCCCTTTCAGTCTGTCTATTATACAAAGACATTTTGATTTTCATAAACCCGACGTAATAATAATTACTTCGTTACCAAGAAGTGCCTTACAACTGAATGTCGCTCAAATTTAGCGAAAAGATCTCCAGAGTTCTCTGAATCGAACAATGATACAGTTCCGTAAAATTTTCGAGAGGTTGTGAAGTCAGAAGTTAGTGAGTTTGAAAAAACTTCGAGCCACTTCGAAAAAGAATCAATGACTACAAGTGCATAGTATTTGACAAGAAATGGACCACAATATTCTGCATGAATTCTCGTCAAGGCCTCAGATGGTACTGTCCATGAAGTCCACTTCAAGGTCTGAATTTTGAACTTATGACATTTTTCACATATATCTGCACTTATCTCCCACCACCAACAGGTGAACCTTACCAAGGATTTCATTTTCTCAACACCTAAACGTCCACTATGAAGGTCTCCAAAGACAGATTTACGCAATGAACGACGAATAACAACACGATCATTTAAACACAAAATAGCTAATCCCGCGTTGAAAAGTAGATAGAAAATCTATTGCTCATCTCATCATTACAACATTTCTGTATAGCACTGAGTATACATCCAAAGTATTAACGAGTTTCTCCAATCAGATTTGGACGTCTCACCAGTAATGGTTACACTAACAAACATTCTGAAGTGTTAGCAAACCTATTCTGAAATAACTGTAGAGATATGTAGTCAACATTTTGAACTTGTTGGACACTCCTGCGACGAATCATATAGTCATTGGCACTCAGAGCTATGCTATATCGTCGTACTATAACAGCTGAGGAACGTGCTAAGGATTTTTCAGGATGATGAATGAACTTTAAAGTTTCATGATCAGTAAGAACAGTGAATTCCTTTCTGAATAAATATTTGTGAAGTCTTTTGACGGCCAAAAACGCAGCTAATACTTCTCTCTACGATTGTGAATAACCTTGTGCAGTAGCAGTAAGTTTGTGTGAAACGTAGATTACTGGTATATTTACCTGCTCAAAACCTCACCAATACCCGCAGGTGATGCATCAGTAATAAACACAGAATGTGCACTAGAGACAGTAAGTCTAAAGAACATCATCACTTTGAAGAAACTTTAGTAAACTTCGTAAGCAGGACTCATGTTCCTCACCCAATTTAAATTAATTGGATGTCAAAATACTAACTAAAAAATTAGCACGACAAGAAAAATTCGTAATTAAACCAGGAATATTATTAAAGAGAACTCATTAATGAACGCAGCTTCGTAAGATTTTTTGGAGATGGTACATTCGTCAGTGGATTTAGTCGCTACATATCTGGTTTAAGACCTTCGTCGTCAACTAAGTATCCAACATATCCAAAACTAGATACACAAAATAAACACTTATTCGGATTCACCACAATATTCTTCTCAATTATACAACCCAATAAAGCAATGAGTCTCCGGTCATGAACCACAATGTCAGAACCATAAATGATAACGTAATCTTCGTAAACTTCAATACCTTCATCACTTCCTGAAATATGCCTGGAAAATAACTTATACCAAATAGAAGAAAGTTGAACAGGACAAACGGGGTGTTAATTATCGTCAAAATATAGGTGAAGTTCATATGAAGAGATTTAAAGATGAGCATTTTCAAGTCAACTTTCGAGAATAACTTACAACCATGTAGTCGATTAAGAATATATTCGGCTTCCACCGTAGCTTCAACAAACGGGAGTTCAGTGTTAATCTATTATTGCCACATGTTCTCGGTGTCTTCACATCAAAATTCAAGGGCATAACGATAGAATTGTAGTGACTCACGTTTATCACGAGAACACGACTGGTTTAATAAAAACAATTATTATTATAACCAACTGTACCAGTGTTTGTTTTAACGTGCTTTTGTTTGACTGTGCTAATGACAGCTACTTTGTGCTTCCATTCTTTTACTTACACTTTGATTGTAACTTCGCGCGAATTCGGCACGGACTGGCGGGTAAGCCACGGATTTTCGCGCACACGTTACATATTGTCGTGGATTTTTCGTGTCGTTATTTATCAGCTATTAACAGGCTTTTTTGCATGACACATCAATTTCTGTATTGCTAGTGCTTGTAACATAGTTTTTATTCCAATTTATTGGCAGTTTGACGTATTTCTTGCTCACCACGTAAGTAAATCTGATGTTAGCTTAATATAGTTATTTGTAACAATATAAACTCAAGCAAGTAAAGTTCACCGTGTTTCTAGTCAAAAAATACATCACAGATTGAGTTTTCATGAAAATGAACCGTAAAATCTTTTACATATGGTTCACCTCCTTGATTGCGGTGACGGTGAACATGGATGTCGGTAGTTGTTTATAAAATGTAAGTAGAAGCAATCAAGCGTTAACCTAATTGTGAATATTATATAACTTGTTTGTATTTAGCCATAAAAAGTTATATCCATTAGAGGTACCATCGTTTTGTACTGAAGTGACATAATTATGTAACGTATCTGAGAAAAAAATTATGTGAGTAACAATTGACGTTTATAGTGTTGTCCAGCGGCTTTCTGAACGTCTGCAGTAATAGTGTATAACACCACATCAAGTAGGAACAAAATCTTCATGAATAAAACGATCGATGTTTCTTGTGAGAATGGTGACACAACCTTGTTTTTTAGTTAATACTGATTTGTGACGTGTCTGTTATAGGGTTCACAAAAGAGTTATTATATACTCTTCGCTCCGTCTCGGTAATACAGTTGTTATGTTACTTAGGAAGTTATGAATGAATGTCACTACTTGTTAATAAAAGACTTATAGGCACAGTCTGTTACTCGCTATTTAAATAACTTATTGAATATGATACTGAGAACAAAGTTTAATTGTTTGTCTCAAAACGGATTTGTTGTTTTTCAGAATAGTATGAAGCTTATGGAATTTAGGATTACGGAAGATTGTGTGGAAAACCGGTTTACAAGTTTACGATAACTGTTTTATATTGCCTACTGCTATGCTCATTCATCTAATGAATTATTTAAATATAAATATAACAACCATACGCAGTGTTTTATATTATAAATCATGTAAGTTTGTATAATTATGGTCTAAATAAAGCCAAAACAAATATTGACGCACAATCATGTGACTGCATTACATTTCGTGGTTTCTCATAAGTTGCATACAACTGAATATGGATTATAATTTAAGATTGAGGGAAGAAATAGTATGAAAGATAATAGAAAGCAAAGAATTGGAATGACCTAGGTTATCAATAATAACTATACATATGTATATGCTTGAACAGGTCGAAGGTCATTTGGTGTTAGACTTAAGGGAACATAAAGGATGGGTGGTGTAATAGTCGAGTGAAGCTCAGAAGCATTTAAGATAAATTGTGTGATAATTCTAGATGTAATGAATAAATCAGTGAATTAAGAACTAATAAGATAAGTGAAGACAATCTGAAGAGTTAACATAATTTAGCAAAGAAGTGTGAGTGGAAGGGTGGTCTAAGGATTACGTAATCCATCTTATCAGGGAACTAGCTGCATGAAATTGTCTAGTTCCATACTAATACTAACTTGATAATGGACGTAATCTGACAACGGAAAATATGTAAGGCGGTTGTTTAATCTGTAAGGTTTTACGTGGAAGTCGCATTATTGTTTTATTTGACTCGTTGATTCCTCACAATGAACAACGATATAACGCTACGTTCTAACGACAGTTCGTAACTAATACAGTAGTACAAATTCTTAATTTTCACACACAATTATTCGTTAAAGCGATTGGTAAACCTCCCCATGAAAGTATGAAGAAGACGAAAATAAAAAATGAGAAAAAGTTTATTGATTTTTCATGACTACTAAATTGGAAAGATAAGTTTACAAGTTATATAAATAGTGGTCTAAAATAAAGCCACAAAGAACTGTTAATCGTAAACCTGCTGTCTAGCTGTTTATAATTCTTAAGTAAAAATTGTAGACTTTTCTCTCCACCTGATTCGCGAAGCGTTCACCATATTTCTCAACAATTTGTTGTTTGCACATTCTTTGTAGCCGTTGAAGTTGTATATATTCTTTACTCCGTCTCGGTAATGAAATTCCTGTGTTGTTTTGTAAATTGTGCGTATTGTCTAATTTCCATCTGCAGCAACACCTAAGAAGTTGATGAGCTATGCAGTTTATATTTTATAATTTAAATAGCTTACCTGTTAGATTTCGTCTTTTAATATATGCCAGCAGGAGATGGCGGCACGGATATCGACACATATTAAACGTGCTACAATTGCATTCACAAATACTTACATCCACTTCGTAATGTTGTCCGCGGTCAAGCATAAACAACCACTCGCCGCTTTCATATTCTAAGTTAACGAAACGCATTTTTTTAAGTTCGTATAACACTTTGGATCTTGCGAATGGGGTCAACATGTTCAGCAAGGGTATAAGACGCTGTGGAGCATCATAATTGTATGTTCATCCACTGATTATTTGGTCTTCAATGCTTTTTCTAGAGAATGTCATTGAACTCCACTTAAAAGCCTTGTATATGCATTTGTGCAAGCTGTCGCTTTTGCGTACATACCTTTTTATCTGCCTATTTAATGACTCAACACGATTATTCGTGTTGTTACCCAAAGTTAATACATTGGCACGCTTTTCTTTTTGTGTCCATGCAAACATAACAGTTCGACCTCGACCCCAATTGTCTGTCACCACTAACTGGAATAATGAATATCTACATAGTAGAACAAAACGAAAATCATATTCACTTTTTATTATTAGTTTTGTAAGTAGAATCAATACACACGACTTCGGGATATTGATTGTACAGCCGTATCCGATCATAACTGCTGAAGCATATCGCCGTAATACATCCATTTTCTGCAGGCTCTCTAACTTCACCGTTTTGTCGCATCATCTGCAATACCTGCTTCCGAGTCCAACCTGAAATATATTTATATACACTTACCAGTGGAGAGTTCAGCTTTCATATTTTTGACATCAGCAGCGGTCACCTGCTTACTTGTTCTTTCCTTAATACTTTTGATAACTTCGTCCGTCGACTGACAGTGCAATATAACTGGTTTCAAGTTTTCTTTTTCTTCTGATGACAATCGTCTACTCAACGGATCACAAACCATCCACGAACTAGTACACGGATGGTTATGATACATGTTGTAAGATTTTATAACGTATTGTTGACCCTCCAATCTTACGCGAAACATCGATTGGCAATTTAGAAATTTAGACCTTAAATGTAACACATTAGTTAGTGTTATATCCGAGTGGAGATTAAATTACAGGTAACTTCCGAGGACTATTCATGGACTAATATTCTATAAATATTCTTATTGTATAACTATTCAACAATTACATTATGTATATTTATATCCCTCTTATGACAAGCTTTATTTTGGCCTATAATTTATTATTGTACGATTTACGGTTCTTAAGTTATGTTCAGTTTATTAACTACTGCCTCCCACATTCACAGCCACTTTTTGGGCTTATTTGTGTACAAATATTATTTCCTATTTTATGGTACGTTGCGGTCTGTATGATTGATATATAAACCAAGTATGCCTGAAATAAACGATCTGGTCTGAACTGCTCTGATTCGGAAGCTGGTATCTTGTTCTGGACTCAAGTGGAAGGGCTCATAGGACATAGGACCAATAAGGACACTAAACTGCCCACACCGGTTGAACGTCATTGGTTGGCCTAGTGTGAAGATTCGTATAAGTCGTATTCGGATTGGTAGATAAGTCGTGCGATAGAAAAACCAGACATACAAAGCCATAACAATTGGCGACGGGGTGAAGAAAAGTTTTGAACCCTCAACTTCAAGTTCATTACAGTTGGAGTCCTCACGGTTTTTTATTCACATTCAGACGTTCTGACTTACGTTTGCGGCCAAACGTGCAACGAAACACTACGAACAAGTATTTATATCTCACATCCTTCAACAATTTACTTTCTGCGTGAACATAGTGTGAATGTGTCATCTGAGGAAATATAGATTTATCCTATCATACTTTATGGAAATCCTTTAGCGCATTATCTAATTCAATCCAGCTTCCGAATCTCTTGTTCAGCATAATACGTTGGAACGCGTCGCTTACGTTCACTGAAATTTCACTTGAGCATGAAGCACTAGAGACAACATACAATAGTTATTAAAAAAAGGTTATTCCTTGAAAAAAATTAACTGAAGGAAGAACAACAAATATTTAGGACTTACCCTTCAGTTGACATTTCGTCTTAACTCACAAAAGCTAGGCGCATCTATAACCTTTTACGTTATTTTATCTTTCTTACGTTGTTTTCTGGACCTAATCAACAAATTATATACAGCTGTTGACTTTCACTACAGCACTTAGGACCACAGATCAAGTTTCGAAGGAACAACAGAGCTAAAGTGTGCACTACAAAACAGAAAATACTCAGTTAATGCTCTTAGCAGTTATTTAGTGTTTATTATGCATCAAAAGATGACTTATATATGGAAACATTTAATACTCATAGGACCCAACACACACACGGCAATTGAAATACGGAATGCCCGCTTCCAGTCAGCGCGTTCAAGGTCGTTGAAACGAAACGGCGGACAGATTTGAAAGGGATTACCGTTTATACCTTGCCCGCGAATTCGGTTACCTTCTGTAACCTAGGTTGTATCCTGGCACGATCTCGGTATCCTTTCGATGCCACGAGATCGCCGGCAAATAAACCTCGACTTGGTCCATTAATTGCCTTCTGATATTCGGCTTCTCGGGGATTTTATGGAGTCATTTGGAACGAGCTTCTTACGCCTTCTGATTCATTTGGCACGTGTTTCTTTGTAGTGGTGTTCATAGTTAACCTCAACTCGACGCCACGCTACAATTGGTAATCTCAATTCGAATACAATTGGTGACCCGTATTTTGGAACACGCCTCATCCTCTGATTAAATCTTCCAAAGAAGCCAATTCGGTGAGTCTATGATTTATCTATCCACGTCTGTCGTATATTTTCATATTTTTAATATATCATATACGCGACATGACGGATAACGATAAGAATAGTATTAATATAATAGACTCACACGTATGTGTACCGAATCCTTGTCACTTTTTATTCGCGTGATGATGAATTCCACGCTTTATTCGAGAAATGTTACCCTATAACGATTCTCCTCGCTGACCCGGTGCTTGGTACGGAATGCATACGCATAAGCATATCCGTCTACCACCCAGCACCAAATGGTTAAGTTGAACGGTTTCACTGCCAACTTAAAAGTGTTCTACGAACACACGAAAACGGCAACTGGCACGAAACCTTACCGCTCGTTCTTTTAGGGGTGAGAACGAGCTTAAAGGCAGATATCCAATGTTCCGCCACTGAACTTGTATACGGCACGACATTGCGTCTGCCCGGAGAATTCTTCACACCACGGAGCAGACCTAATTTCGGTAAATCAGACTACGTCCATCGACTGTCTGCATTTATGCGAACGCTGTCTCCGGTGTCAACTCGAATACAACATCGACAGGTCGCTCTCTCTCGAGAGTTATCTACCTGTTCACATGTTTTTGTACGAGTAGATTCGGTACGCAAACCTTGGCAACAACCTTACGAAGGCCCTTTTCACGTGATCGCTCGTCACGAAAAGACCTTCAAGGTTAATCGATATGAACGCGTCGAGATCGTCAGCATTGATCGTCTCAAACCAGCACACGTCGATGACAGTGCCCTATCTGACACCCTGAGATTCAATGCTAGACCTATCAAACCTAGCGGGATCCTTAAATCTTCTTCAGGCCCCACGCTAGATGCATCTGAGACCTCATTCTCACGTCCCGGTCAACAGCACGCGTCATCTGCACCGTCTACGGACAAGACGACAGTCTCACGTCCAGATCAGCAGACCACGCCGCCCTTGACTTCGGATGAGATTGCAGGCTCACGCGACGCGAACGAGACTGCCGTCTCACGTTCCGGTCGCCGAGTACGATTACCCGTACGCTTCCGCGAATAGTCGCACAGTCAACAACCGATACGGTGTAGGATTATTCCTATACTACACGTATGCTACACTCTTCTTTTTTTGATTTTCTTTTTGTTTCCTGAGCCCACGCCTTCGACCATCTACGTTTGGTTCCGTCGACTTCAGTCAACTTTGGCGAAAGCTGGATTGGCCACCCACGCTCTTGTCAACGTACTCAGTCGATATATTGGTTTCGAATGCTTGGCACATGCTTGGTCTCGAACTTGGTCGTTATGGTCGCTTCTGGTCTTTTGGCTCAACGTGGTTTCGTCCTTCGTCTGCAGCGTTTATGGTCCGGACCCGTACGAACGCCCTCTTCAGATTCTGGATACAAACCACTCTGGTGTAGCATGCCAACTCGAGCAAAAAATACAACACATCGCTCCTGGTACTGTTCTCCGAAAACGACCTTCGTTGGCAACTCGACGATCGACGATCGCTTTCCTGTTTGCCAATTCTTCCGTCCTACAATCGCTCGTCAGCCAATCAGTCCCACGATTCAAACCGCTATTTATCGAAAGTGTAAACCCTTTCTAGCGGGGGGCTCCTGTAGTGACTCACGTTTATCACGAGAACACAACTGGTTTAATAAAAACAATTATTATTATAACCAACTGTACCAGTGTTTGTTTTAACGTGCTTTTGTTTGACTGTGCTAATGACAGCTACTTTGTGCTTCCATTCTTTTACTTACACTTTGATTGTAACTTCGCGCGAATTCGGTTACCTTCTGTAACCTAGGTTGTATCCTGGCACGATCTCGGTATCCTTTCGATGCCACGAGATCGCCGGCAAATAAACCTCGACTTGGTCCATTAATTGCCTTCTGATATTCGGCTTCTCGGGGATTTTATGGAGTCATTTGGAACGAGCTTCTTACGCCTTCTGATTCATTTGGCACGTGTTTCTTTGTAGTGGTGTTCATAGTTAACCTCAACTCGACGCCACGCTACAATTGGTAATCTCAATTCGAATACAATTGGTGACCCGTATTTTGGAACACGCCTCATCCTCTGATTAAATCTTCCAAAGAAGCCAATTCGGTGAGTCTATGATTTATCTATCCACGTCTGTCGTATATTTTCATATTTTTAATATATCATATACGCGACATGACGGATAACGATAAGAATAGTATTAATATAATAGACTCACACGTATGTGTACCGAATCCTTGTCACTTTTTATTCGCGTGATGATGAATTCCACGCTTTATTCGAGAAATGTTACCCTATAACGATTCTCCTCGCTGACCCGGTGCTTGGTACGGAATGCATACGCATAAGCATATCCGTCTACCACCCAGCACCAAATGGTTAAGTTGAACGGTTTCACTGCCAACTTAAAAGTGTTCTACGAACACACGAAAACGGCAACTGGCACGAAACCTTACCGCTCGTTCTTTTAGGGGTGAGAACGAGCTTAAAGGCAGATATCCAATGTTCCGCCACTGAACTTGTATACGGCACGACATTGCGTCTGCCCGGAGAATTCTTCACACCACGGAGCAGACCTAATTTCGGTAAATCAGACTACGTCCATCGACTGTCTGCATTTATGCGAACGCTGTCTCCGGTGTCAACTCGAATACAACATCGACAGGTCGCTCTCTCTCGAGAGTTATCTACCTGTTCACATGTTTTTGTACGAGTAGATTCGGTACGCAAACCTTGGCAACAACCTTACGAAGGCCCTTTTCACGTGATCGCTCGTCACGAAAAGACCTTCAAGGTTAATCGATATGAACGCGTCGAGATCGTCAGCATTGATCGTCTCAAACCAGCACACGTCGATGACAGTGCCCTATCTGACACCCTGAGATTCAATGCTAGACCTATCAAACCTAGCGGGATCCTTAAATCTTCTTCAGGCCCCACGCTAGATGCATCTGAGACCTCATTCTCACGTCCCGGTCAACAGCACGCGTCATCTGCACCGTCTACGGACGAGACGACAGTCTCACGTCCAGATCAGCAGACCACGCCGCCCTTGACTTCGGATGAGATTGCAGGCTCACGCGACGCGAACGAGACTGCCGTCTCACGTTCCGGTCGCCGAGTACGATTACCCGTACGCTTCCGCGAATAGTCGCACAGTCAACAACCGATACGGTGTAGGATTATTCCTATACTACACGTATGCTACACTCTTCTTTTTTTGATTTTCTTTTTGTTTCCTGAGCCCACGCCTTCGACCATCTACGTTTGGTTCCGTCGACTTCAGTCAACTTTGGCGAAAGCTGGATTGGCCACCCACGCTCTTGTCAACGTACTCAGTCGATATATTGGTTTCGAATGCTTGGCACATGCTTGGTCTCGAACTTGGTCGTTATGGTCGCTTCTGGTCTTTTGGCTCAACGTGGTTTCGTCCTTCGTCTGCAGCGTTTATGGTCCGGACCCGTACGAACGCCCTCTTCAGATTCTGGATACAAACCACTCTGGTGTAGCATGCCAACTCGAGCAAAAAATACAACACATCGCTCCTGGTACTGTTCTCCGAAAACGACCTTCGTTGGCAACTCGACGATCGACGATCGCTTTCCTGTTTGCCAATTCTTCCGTCCTACAATCGCTCGTCAGCCAATCAGTCCCACGATTCAAACCGCTATTTATCGAAAGTGTAAACCCTTTCTAGCGGGGGGCTCCTGTAGTGACTCACGTTTATCACGAGAACACAACTGGTTTAATAAAAACAATTATTATTATAACCAACTGTACCAGTGTTTGTTTTAACGTGCTTTTGTTTGACTGTGCTAATGACAGCTACTTTGTGCTTCCATTCTTTTACTTACACTTTGATTGTAACTTCGCGCGAATTCGGTTACCTTCTGTAACCTAGGTTGTATCCTGGCACGATCTCGGTATCCTTTCGATGCCACGAGATCGCCGGCAAATAAACCTCGACTTGGTCCATTAATTGCCTTCTGATATTCGGCTTCTCGGGGATTTTATGGAGTCATTTGGAACGAGCTTCTTACGCCTTCTGATTCATTTGGCACGTGTTTCTTTGTAGTGGTGTTCATAGTTAACCTCAACTCGACGCCACGCTACAATTGGTAATCTCAATTCGAATACAATTGGTGACCCGTATTTTGGAACACGCCTCATCCTCTGATTAAATCTTCCAAAGAAGCCAATTCGGTGAGTCTATGATTTATCTATCCACGTCTGTCGTATATTTTCATATTTTTAATATATCATATACGCGACATGACGGATAACGATAAGA